ATTTTTGCAGTTAAAACAGCTCCCAGGCTGAAACTGGTTTGGCTCAGTGGTAGAGTGTCGGTCTGCGAACTGAAGGGTCCCGGGTTTGATTCCGGTCAAGGGCATGTACCTTGGTTGTGGGCACATCCCCAGTGGGGGGGGGGGGTGCAGGAGGCAGCTGGTCGATATTTCTCTCTCATCGACGTTTCTAGCTCTCTGTCTCCCTCTCTTCCTCTCTGTAAAAAAATCAATAAAATATATTTAAACAAACAAACAAACAAACAAACAAAAAAACAGCTCCCAGGATGCCAAGGGGAAGGATGACAATTCAGTTAGACATATCAAAGAGAAAATCTTGCAATGCTGTAGGAAATGCTATCTTCAATGAAGTGGAACAGATTTTTTTTTTTAAAGGGAATTGCATCAAATGCCAAATGTAGGACAAGTACACCAGAGAAAGGAGACCAGAATGGGTAAGCCTGAAGAGTCTGACACATGAAGCCAGAAGAAGAACCTAGCGACGTTTAAACCAATATAAACAAGACTTGGAGGTGACACATGTCTATCTTGCTGTGGAGGCTTCATAAAGACACTTGTAGGTCCTTCGGCCAACCTAAGAGAGGTTGATGTCTGTTGTTCTTGTCTGTCCAACAACCCCACTGCCATTCTCCAGTGCCATATGTTGTGGTAAAGTCCACAGTCATGGTGCCTCATCTCTACCCAGCAACCAGATGTGTTATCTCCACGCCACAATGATTGGTTAAGGGAAGAGTGTGTGACTCAAGCAAAGCCAACCAAAGTTCTTCCATGAGAAACAGCATTTCAGTTTCTCTTCCTGTGGACTCAGAGTTAAGGATGGTTTAAGACTCACATTGCCTGAAGCTATTTTTTTTCTGAACTTATAATGACAATGAATACAACATGAAAACAGGACAGAAACAAAGAAGGAATATATAAAGACAAAAACAGACATAGAGACAGAGAGGAACCACAGACAGAGAGAAAGAGAAGGAAAGACGGATAAAAAGAGGAGAGGGAGACTGAGACAGAGGGAGAGGGCTAGACTGCATGACATTGTTCAAATCCTCCAGACAGCCATGTCTGAAGTGAAACTTTTGAGATAATTGAGCCAATTAATTTATTTTATGTCCCATGGTGTTAAAACAAGACCCTGCTAATCATCTGGTAAGCAAGCTGATAAGAACTCTACAGTCAAGCATTTTATTTGGGTACATACAGGGAAAGCCCTCTTCAAAGGCTAATTTAAAACAAAGGTGCATTTGGATAAGCTAAAAATATATTCACTTAACAAATCTGCTTTATGGTATAAAATAATTAAAATTTAGAGGGAGTGATACTTACAGTAGTTACCTCTTAGGGGCATAGCTGTGGAGGTAGGGAAGAAATTGGGGGTGTTTTTGTGTATTAGTTGTGAAATGAAGATATGTTAATAATGTTCAGGTATGATGTGTGTGTTTTTTTTTTTAAAACTATTGTGATTCGAAAAGAGATTGTTGTAACAAGGTTGTGGAGATGGCTGTGAATGTCCGAATGTCCAAGGGAGGAAGAATCTGCTGACGGGATGGTGAAGGCCCCCTCAGGGTGAGAATCTAGGGCATTCTGTGAGAAAGCAGAGAGAATACACTGGATGAAGGTTTCCACGTCCCAGTGGTGCTCTAGTTTCTAAGGGAACTCCTAACACTAAGCTCAGCACGTTCTCAGCCAGTTGAAGGATGTGCTGTCCCAGGAGTACTTCAGCTAAAAGGTTCCAGTGGAGAAGTGTTAACTTCTAGCAAAGGGAAAACGGAGCTTAAAGCACATATTTCTGAAATCAGTAAAAGTGAAGTTTTTCAATACCTATTCAACTGACCATCCAGGCTGGCCAGCTCCACGTCTGGTAGCCCCTATATAACCATCATTGATGGTTTGGTGTACTCCCTCCACTCATTCATGTATACCCAGATATAAACATATATATATATTTATTTTAGAAAAGTGGTATTACCCTGAACATTAAAGTCTGAAACTTGCTTTGTTTTCTCATATAACTCACCAGGATATATTTCTAAGACAATACCCAATGCTATTCTTCATGTTTTTAATGCCAGTGTTATAGTATCCACGGTTAAAACCAGTACTCTGTTATAGATACTTAGTTGGTTTTCATTCACCATAGAGCCTTAGATTTAAAATAATCAATGGCACTTTATGCTTTAATGCAGTTCTGACCTCTCATGACCCATATTATAGAATGCGTGGATTTTAATTATGCTTTGTAAATTATTTTTAATGAAGCAATAAGCTTTCATTAATAGGATTCAATTCTCACTCAACTGGTGACTGTGGTTGAATGTCAAACTATGAACCAGGAGGTCACAGTTTGATTCCTGGCCAGGGCACATGCCAGGGTTGCAGGCCTGATCCCCAGTGTGGGGAGTGCAGGAGGCAGCCAACCAATGATTCTCTCTCATCATTGACATTTCTATCGCCCTCCCCCTCTTCCTTCCTCTCTGAAATCAATATAAACATAAATTTAAAAAAAGAAAAGAAAAAAAGTAGGATTCAATTCTCAAAGCACCTGGAAACACAGTGGATGGAGAATGGGAGTTGGGGAAATGTGTTTCATAATGTTTTGCTTTGATCTAGGGGTCTGCCATCTGAGTGGAATTAGGATTCACAGTGAACGTTCTTGCTCGAGAGCCACTACCCTTTCTGAGTCATCCCTGCAGAGTCTAGGCAGCTCTAGAGAGCACAAGCATCATGCTAGGAGTCACATGACCAGCGATGACATCACACTTCACTGAGACACTCACTCTGTGCTTTGTCCCAGCCTAGCCAAGCCCAACTGTCATGGGAAGGATACAGCAAAAACAGAAGCCAGATGATAAACAAAATTATACTCTTCCAGGCTAACCTGTTGCCTATGATGTCCAGAACGAACCTTCCAGCCCAAAGAAAACATCACTCTTGGAACAGGGAGACACCTGATACGTGTCCAGGCTCCCAAACCATCTGATTTCATTTTACTTACAGAGTTGGGTTTCTGACGTCTACTATCAGAGAAGGAAATGAAATTATTGGCAGCATTCTTCTAAAAGAGAATATGCTGTACCCTTCAGTTATTCAATAGTGTTTACCAAACACCTTAATCAGTATTGATGTTAATATTGCTTAACTGTCAATTTCCCCAGTAAAAGTTAAATTCCAAGAGTGCAGGGAGGGGCCTTATCCTTATTCATATGCATGCAGGCACTTTCACTGATGGAGACAGATATTTAAGAAAAAAAAATTTCATTATAATTGTTGTTTTAATCATAATTGCCCTAAGCTCTCAAGGGAGAATATGTTTTGTGGGGTCAGAGATGCCTTCTGCAATCAAGAGAGGACTGAGCTAAAATCTAAAAGACAGGTAAGAGAGGAGGGAGCAAAGGAACTTTCCAAGCAGAGGGAGGAGCCAAGGTCCCTAAATAGCTGAGCATGGAGCACTGGAAAGAGAGAAAGGCCAAGATAAGAGGGATAAGGTTGCCTTGATCCCTCAGCTTTGCCTTCTCCACGTTCCTATAACACTTCCGGTCTCACTGCTTGGAGTGAAGTAATGATTACATGTAGGATACCCTGGAGGATTTCCATAGATTGTCTAGTTTCTTACATTTTATTATTTCTAATATGAACTTTCACCCAGTATATACTGACTGTCTTAAAAAGTCTTTCATGTACTGAAGTCAGATTGTTATAAAAAAAAAAAAAAAGCTAATAAAGATAAATTTCAAACTATGGCACAGCATGGGTCTGGCTTTCAACCAACAATTCAGCTCTATCAATGTCATCATGCCTAGTAATAGAGTGGAATCTCATTATACAGATATTTAGCTTAAGCATATTCAACTATCAGTTCTTGGCAGAGAGAGGGAGAGAGAGGGAATGTATATAACATAGGCCATTATACCTCCCATTCCAATCAAGGAGCACCTGTCCCATGGTTAGGGTATGAATCTGCTGCTCCCAGTGCTAGACTCAGTCCCTAAGAACTCTTCCCAGTGTGACTAATTCTCTGGGAACACTCTGATTTTAGTGTTGAAAGGCACATATTTTAGAGAAACCATAACCTCCAACTTTAGCCAACTACTTTTCCTTTTCTTCAGTGAAAGAAACAGACACCCATCCCAAGACTGGAGGAAAACCTGGACTGCTGGACTACTCAAGAGGCAGTAAGAGATTGTCCCTGGTAATTCAGATCACATGAGTTGCACACCACTCTCTTTTGAGAACGAACCCCTAACACATGGCTACAGTAATGGCTGCACATGTTCATGTGATCCTCTGACTTTTAAATTTCATTCTTCCTTTACTGTTCAATACCCATGAGCAGGAACCAGAAAATCAAAATTACTGATACAACTAATACACCTACATCTCCACAAATGAGGCAAAGATGAAGATCATTAGGCCTTCTGAAGTCAAATGTGAAGAAAAAGAACAAGATTATGCAACAGAATGAAATGCTAGCCTTGAGTCCCCAAACCAGACAGTTATTGGGGATTTTATTATCATCTTTAACTTTCTGGAAACATCTCTACAGTCTCAGGCACACACCTGTAATTATGATACAGACACATTTTCAGTAGAAGGTCATGTTCAAACACAGAGCACTACCCTTCTGAACCACCCCTGCAATCTACCGGGCAGATGTGTTAATTCTTGCCACTCAGCTCCCTCAGCACTTTGTTCATGCCACCTGGACACAAGGTAGGGCTCCCCAGTGAGCTTGATGGCTGGTATCTGTCTCTACCTGGACTGTAAGTTCCTTGCAAGGAAGGTCTAGGCCTTTCTAATCTTTGTGCACAGGGCCTCAGAGAATGCCCTCTGCAAAAACTGAGAAGTGAATGGGTAAGTGGATAATCAGATGTACTCTCTAAGACTCATTTCTAATAAATCAGAGAAGAAAGAAAGACACATCCCAGCAGTCATCAGGCCATTGTCTCCAGCCCAGAGCTCCGCTGTGCACACCGCTCTGTCCTCACCTGTCCAGAGAGATACAGCACAGGTGAAAAATGGATGCCGTGGTGAGCAGGACATCTAGAGAAGTCCGGACGAGGCAAAACATCTCCCCATAGATCCAGATGTCCTGAAACAGCTCAATGGCACCAAAGGGCATCACCAGCACAGACACCAGCAGATCCGCAAAGGCAAGAGAGACAATGAAATAGTTGGTTTTTATTTTCCTGCAAGCGAAAAAGTATAAGGACGAGGCAGGGGAGGAGGGATAGGAAGGAGGTCAGGGAGAAAGGAGTGAGAGAGAAGAGCAAAGGAAAGCATAGAAAGGAGGAAAGGAAGGAGGGAGGAAAAAGAAAAAAAAAAGTCAAACGTGTAATGTATCTTATGAGGTTGTTTCTCTCTGCGATGTGGCTGGGGAGACCCTGTGTGATCCGGCCACTTCTGAGCATTCCAGATTTTTCTCACTCCCAGAACCCTCCCTTCCTCTCCTCTATGGCCAAACGGCCTGATTAGCATCCCTGTGGAGTGAGCTCCTCCCAAGTGCTTTTGTGCATGGTTTTCTCTCCCTACTATGGGCTTACTTACCCCCACCAGTCTGCAGGCCTCGGTTTGGTCATTCTCAGGGAACCTCCCAAGATGCCCCCCTCACAAAAGGCATCAAATTCCACTACTTCCTACTCTCACACTGACAGAAATGTGCCTCACATTTGTGAGACCTACACAAGTGTGCTTTTATATCTGTTGCATCACCACTGGGTTAATGCGTGTCTTGCTTAGAGAGAAGGCAGCAGACAAGGCAGGGCTACATCCTTTATCCCTTTTATGCTTGTCTGGTGGCTCTTCATCCAGGCTGTACACTAGAATCACCCAGTGGATTTTTTATTTTTATTTTTTTATTTTTTAAAATATATTTTATTGATTTTTTTTGCCCCCCTCCCTCCCTCGCATACATACCCTCCTTCCCCAGAGTTTTATGTCCATTGGTTGTACTTATATGCATGTACACATGTCCTTCGGTTGATCTATTATCTCCCCAGATCTTCCTCCCCTCCCCATTGTAATTTGACAGTCTGCCTGTTGCTTTACTGTATATCTGTCTCTTGGTTCATCAGTTTATAATGGTCTTTATCATCCACAAATGAGTGAGGTCATGTGGTGTTTCTCTTTCACTGATTGGCTTATTTCACTCAGCATGATGTTCTCCAATTCCATCCAGGTTGCTGCAAATGATGAGAATTCCTTCTTTTTTATGGCAGCATAGTATTCCATTGTGTAGATGTACCATAGTTTTGGGATCCAATCATCTGCTGACGGGCACCTAGGCTGTTTCCAAATTCTGGCTATTGTAGATTGTGCTGCTATGAAATAGGGGTGCATATATCCTTTCTGATTGATGTTTCTAGTTTCTTGGGATATATTCCTAGAAGTGGGATTACTGGGTCAAATAGGAGTTCCATTTTCAGTTTTTTGAGGAAACTCCACTGTTCTCCACAGTGGTTGCACCAGTCTGCATTCCCACCAGCAGTGCACGAGGGTTCCTTTTTCTCAGCAACCTTGCCAACACTTGTCGTTTGTTGATTTGTTGATGTTGGCCCTTCTGACAGGTGTGAGATGGTACCGCATTGTTGTTTTGATTTGCACCTCTCGGACAATTAGTGACTTTGAGCATGTTTTCATGTGCCTTTTGGCCTTCCTTCTGTCTTCTTTTGAAAATATTCTATTTAGGTCCATTGCCCATTTTTTAATTGGATCATTCATCTTCCTCTTATTTAGTTGTATAAGCTGTCTGTAAATGTTGGAGATTAAACCTTTATCAGTGGTATTATTTGCAAATATGTTCTCCCACACTGTGGGCTTTCTTGTTGCTTTGTTGATGGTTTCTGTTGCTGTAAAAAAGCTTTTTATTTTGATGTAGTCCCATTTGTTTATTTTCTCTTTAGCTTCCATTGCCCTACGGGCAGTATCAGTGAAGAAGTTCTTTTGGCATACGTCTAAGATTTTGCTGCCTGTGGATGCTTCTAGTATTTTTATGGTTTCCCGTCTGATGTTTAAGTCCTGTATCCATTTTGAATTTATTTTTGTGAATGGTGTAAGTTGGTGATCTAGTTTCATTCTTTTGCATGTATCTGTCCAATTTTCCCAACACCATTTATTGAAGAAACTGTCTTGACTCTATTGTATATTCGTGCCTCCTTTGTCAAATATTAATTGAGCATAGTGATTTGGGTTGATATCTGGGTTCTTGATTCTATTCTGTTGATCTATATGTCTGTTCTTGTGCCAGTACCAGGCTGTTTTGAGAACAGTGGCTTTGTAATATAGTTTGAAGTCTGGTATTGAGATCCCTTCTACTTTACTCTTCTTTCTCAGGATTGCTGTGGCTATTCGGGGTCTTTTATTGTTCCAAATGAACTTTTGGAGAGTTCTTTCTAGGTCAGTGAAATATGTCGTTGGTATTTTAATGGGGAGTGCATTGAACCTATAGATTGCTTTAGGAAGTATGGACATTTTGATGATGTTGATTCTACCAATCCATGAACATAGTATGTTCTTCCATCTCCTTACATCTTCCTCTATCTCTTTTTTCAATGTCGTGTAGTTTTCTGCATATAGATCCTTTACTTCCTTAGTTAAATTTATTCTTAGGTATCTTAATTTTTTTGGTGCGATGGAAAATGGAATTGCTTTTTTAGTCTCTATTTCTGTAGTTTCACTGTTGGTGTATAGAAATGCCATGGATTTCTTGGCATTAATTTTGTATCCTGCTACATTGCCAAATTCATTTATTAAGTCAATTAGTTTTTTAATGGAGTATTTTGGGTTTTTTATGTACAATATCATGTCATCTTCAAATAAGGATAACTTTACTTCTTCTTTTCCAATTTGGATGCCTTTTATTTCCTCCTCTTGTCTAATTGCAATGGCTAGTACTTCCAGTACTATGTCAAACAGGAGTGGCGAGAGTGGGCATCCCTGTCTTGTTCCCGTTCTTAGAGGGAATGGTTTTAGTTTTTGCCCATTGAGTATGATGTTGGCTGTGGGTTTATCATATATAGCTTTAATTATGTTGAGGTATGATCCTTGTACTCCCACCTTGTTAAGAGTTTTTATTAGGAAAGGGTGTTGGATTTTATCAAATGCTTTTTCTGCATCAATTGATATGACTCTATGATTTTTATCTTTCAATTTGTTTATGTGATGTATCACGTTTATTGATTTGCGGATATTGTACCATCCTTGCATTCCTGGAATAAATCCTACTTGGTCATGGTGTATGACCTACTTGATCTTTTTGATGTTCTTCTGGAGTCCATTTGCTAGTATTTTGTTGAGAATGTTGGCATCTATGTTCATGAAGGATATTGGCCTGTAATTCTCTTTCATTGAGTTGTCTTTATCTGGTTTTGGTATTAGGGTGATGCTGGCTTCATAGAAGGAGTTTGGAAGTGTCCCTTCCTTTTGGATTTTTTGGAATAGTCTGAGGAGGATAGGTTTTAGTTCTTCCTTGAATGGTAAAACTTTTGTGAATCTATCTGGCCCTGGGCTTTTGTTTGCTGGAAGCCTTTTGATGACTGTTTCAATTTCTTTCCAAGTCACTGGTCTATTGAAATTTTTAGATTCTTCCTGATTGAGTTTTGGAAGTTTGTATTTTTCTAGGAATATGTCCATTTCCTCCAGGTTGTTCAGTTTGTTGGAATAGAGTTGTTTGTATTTTGTAACAATCTGTTGTATTTCGGTGGGGTCTGTTGTTATTTAACCTCTTTCATTTCTGATTTTGTTTATTTGGGTCCTCTCTTTGTTTCTTGGTTAGCTGGCTAGAGGTCCATCTATCTTGTTTAACCTTTCAAAGAACCAGCTCTTGGTTTTGTTGATCTTATGTATTGTTTCTTTGGTCTCTATGTCATTTATCTGTGCTCTGATTTTTGTTATTTCCTTCCTTCTGCTTACACTGGGCTTTTCTTGTTGCTCTTTTTCTAACTCTTTGAGTTGTAGAGTTAGATCATTTGTTACCATTTTTTCTAGGTTTTTTTTGCAATAGGCTTGGAAGGATTTGAACTTCCCTCTCAAAACTGCTTTTGCTGTGTCCCATAGATTTTGGATTGTTGTGTTTTCATTGTCATTTGTTTCCAGGATGTTTTTAATTTCTTCTTTGATTTCTCTGGTAACCCAGTCCTTGTTTAATAGCATGCTGTTTAGTCTCCATGTGTTTGATTTCTTTGGATTATTTTTATTGTAGTTATTTCCAGTTTTATTCCATTATGATCTGAGAAGATGCTTGATATGATTTCTATCTTCTTGAATTTGAAGAGACTTTGCCTATGTCTCAAAATGTGGTCTATCTTTGAGAATGTCCCATGTGCACTTGAGAAGAATGTATATTCTGTGGCTTTGGGGTGGAATGTTCTGAAGATGTCAATTAATTCCATCTGGTATAGTGAGTCATTTAGGATTGATATTTCTGTGCTGATTTTTTGTTTAGATTATTTGTCAAAGGGTGACAGTGGGGTATTAAAATCTCCTACTATGATTGTATTGCTATTAATCTCTCCCTTAATGTCCTCCAGCAGTTTTTTCTTTTATGTATTTGGGTGCTCCTGTATTGGGTGCATATATATTTACCAGGGTTATTTCTTCTTGTTGGATTGTTCCCTTTAGTATTATGAAGTGGCCTTCATTATCTCTAGTTACGTCTTTCAATCTGAGATCTAATTTGTCAGATATAAGTATTGCTACCCCAGCTTTTTTTTCATTTCCATTTGCCTGGAAAACTTTTTTCCATCCCTTCACCTTCAGTCTGTGTGCATCTTTTTTTCTCAGGTGGGTTTCTTGTAGACAACAGATGTATAGGTCTTGTTTTATTATCCAATCTGACACCATATGTCTTTTGATTGGAGCATTTACATTTAAGGTTATTATTGATAGGTACTCATTTGACGCCATTTTTATTCTATACCTGTGTTCCTTCTTCACTTCCTATTTCTTTATTTTTACAGTAGAATCTTTAGCATTTCTTGCATTGCTGGTTTGGTGGAGATAAATTCTTTCAGTCTTTTTTTGTCTGTAAAGCTCCTGATTTCCCCTTCAATTTTGATTGATAGCCTTGCTGGGTACAGTATTCTTGGATTCAGACCCTTCCTTTGCATGACTTTGTATATTTCATCCCATTCCCTTCTGGCCTGATATGTTTCTGTTGAGAAATCAGTTGCTAGTCTGATGGGGGTTCCTTTGTATGTAACTTTCTGTCTCTCTCTGGCTGCTTTTAAGATTCTTACTTTGTCATTGTTGTTTGCCATTTTAATTATAATGTGCCTTGGCGTCTGTCTTCTGGGATTTATTTTGCTTGGGACTCTGCGAGCATCTTGGATTTGTGTGGGTTTTTTCTTCTCTATCTCAGGAAAGTTTTCTGTCATTATTTCTTGAAATACTTTTTCCATGTCTACCTCAGTTTCCTTTCCTTCTGGAATCTCTATTATTCGAATATTATTTTGTTTTGTATTGTCCCAAAGCTCCCGTAGGCTCTCCTCCTGCTTTTTAATCTTTTTTTCTAGAAGCTACTCTAATTGGGCATTTTTTTCCATCTTGTCTTTTAGCTCACGGATGCAGTCCTCTGCTTCATCTAGTCTACTCTTGATGCTTTCTATTGAGTTCTTCATGGTCGTGATGTCATATTTCATTTCTTCTTGATTCTTCTTCAATTCCTCATGGTTTTTCCTCATTTCTTCTTGGTTATTGTCAAATTTCTCTTCCATTCTTTTTAGCCATCCTATGATCATTACTCTGAATTCTTGCTCTGGTAGGCTGCATGCCTATGACTCGTTTACTTCCTTTTCTGGTGATGCCTGCTTTTCTTTCATGTGCAGGCTATTTCTCTGTCTCCCCATGGTCTCTCTTTTCAGGATGTCTGGTTTTGTGGTGTTCCTTCTCCTTTCCGTGGGTGATTGAAGAACTCCCTTGAATCCACATGTTTGCGCCCATTGGGGCGTCACAGCTGCTCAATGGACTCCTCCGCTGTGGGTTTTTCCAGGCCTCAGAGAAGCTCCTCCTTTCCTGGTAAGATGGCGCAGTCTTCCCTCAGAGCTGTAGCTCCGGGAGAGCCCCAGTGGATTTTTTATAAATATTGATGACAAGGTATCACCCCAGTTCAATTAGTTCAGGGATTTGGGGAGATTAGTCCCCCCATCCACACCCAGGCTTGCCAGGTAAAACACAAGGTACCCAGTTAAAATTGCATTTTGGGTTAACAATGAAGAATGGTTTAGTATAAGTATGTTCCAAATATTGTCTGGGATATACTTAGAATACACAGTAGCAATTTTTAAAAGGTCTTCAGGTAACCTGAATTGCAGCCAGCGTTCTGATGGATGAAGTGGGAAAGAGAAGGAGACCCGGGTATAAATCCTAGACCAGTCACTGTCAGCCATCCCTTCTCTGAACTGATTGATAAAGTGGGGAGGATATATTAGACAAGCTCTCAACATATGTACATACAGTGATCACAAACTTTTAAAAACCCAAAACCAAGTTAAACATAGGACCAAAGACAGGATGGAAATGCAGTTTTAAGTGTTTACACTGGTCATGTTTGAGTTGGGGGGCGATGTATGATCTTTTCCCCTTGCTCTATTTCCAAATGTGGTCCCCATGTATCTTTCCCTTTCCTAAGTACAGACTATGATGGAAATGATAAGTACAGATCCTTGACTCTCCAGGAAGGGCCCAGAACACCACCCAGGCCTCCTTCCCCATGAGACTTCCTCATGCGACTCACCTGAGCTGCCGGTCCCTGCACACAGCCACCATCACCAGAAGGTTCCCCAAGATGGCCATCAGGATAACCGCAGAGAGAAACGTGAGCAGCACGGCCTTTTCCACTGACCGAAAACCCTCCTTGGAACTGAAAGACAGACAAACAGACAAACACACATACCCACAAAGATTGAAGGAAACCCTGATACACAGGCAAGAAAATTAATCTTTTCCTCATTCATCCTCAGGAAGGGAACTTCACCATAAGTAGCAGCAACCCAGAATAAGCCATTGCCTGCACCTGTCACTTTATAGGAGTGAAACCCTACAAAACAGGGAGGAGGAGGCTCAGACTTGAATGAACTACCCTGAGACTGCACAGTTATTCTCCATCGGAGAGCTTGTGGTTTTCCTTCAAAGCACTTCCTCAGTTCATGCTGAGAAATGTATTTGGATGATTCCTGTTTTATGCACCAACCCACCTCAAAAGCTCCATGAAACAGATGCCTCATGTGGCTTATCCATTGATAAATTCAACTCCAGTGTGTTATTCACATTTCTTGAGTGAAGGAAAGATGGTGTTGGATGGATGAATGACAGTAACTTGAACCAGGTCTGCATGGATAAATGGCCACCTGTTTTCAGGACCCTAGCCTGGCCCACGCAGGCTGTCTCAGGCACAGGTCTTGGCTTGAAGACTGTTCTCATGTAGCTGACCTGAAAAAATTGGTCTCAGATTCTGTGAAGTCCATTGGAAAGACAGCAGCTGATCACTAAATGTAAGAACTCGGTTCACTGCCCAAACCACATTTCTTTTGTTGCCCAACATAACAGTTCAAGTTTGTGTTCTTGTCAATTCTGGCATCTGATACTATTCTATGAATCCTGCTGTCCTAGTGTGAATCGTTTTGGTTTATTAACTTGGAAGTGAGTGTTCCCATCAATAAAAGCATAATGTCTGCAAATTTTTAAGAAGCTTCAGAAAGAAAGTTTTATTTCTATTAGAGGATAAAAAAATGGTTTTTAAATGAAGTTTCAAAGGACCTTAACATTCTCAGACCCAAACCCTACATAGCAATACATGAAACTGAGGCCTGGATAGAGGAGCTATGTTGTCAGAGCATTTCAGAAGCTGGTCTGGAAGTGGCTGCTTGCCCTGTGAGCCCATTCCTGGAACCACAGTGTCTCCAGAATCAAGAGATGTCTGTCTTTACTGAGCTCCTTTGATTGGAAACCAAGATAGCTGCTGGCCCCAAATGGCAGCAGCCCACCACGTCCTGGCTCTGATCTTGTCCAAAACTGGCCTGGCACGAAAGACAAGATTCTGACTAGAATAAGGCAGCGCTGTCACAGCAGCTGAAGAACCAGAGCATCCCTCCACTCTGCTGACAAGCGTTTTTCTTAATTGATTGACTGACCAATTGATGGATGAATTGATGTCTGTATGCCTAGGGTTTGGATGAAAAGAAAGTCTAGGTATATTCATCTAAATCACTCTTCTACATCTACATTCCAGCTATCAACAGTACAGACACTGGACAGGAAAGATTTAATTCAATGAGGAAATGACCTTAACAGGGTGATGTGGCTACCCAAAATTAATCTTTCCTTAGGCCATGTTAACTGAGGTCAAGTGTTTAACAAACGAGGTGATAGTGGTTTTTTTCTTTGTCCTTCTCAGTGGCTCCTACTCAGAGGCCTTCTGAAATGTGTTGCCCCTCCAGGCCTCTGCACTAGCTGTGCCTTCCTCTAGGGATACTTCTTTCCTGTCTTCCAGGTCTCAGATTAAAGTTAACCCCCACTTAATGGGACACGGCCAACATTTTCCATTTTCTTTATAGCAGTTATTGTCACCTAAAATGACTTCTGCTGCTGCTGTTGTCTGTGCCCCACCCCCACAGATTCACTTCCCTTATCTGTTCCAGCACAATTTCCAGCGCCAGGCACAGTCTACTCTACAGTGCGTGTAGTGTATAGGTGTGTGTAGTACATAGGAAATGCTCAATTATTTGCTTATTGAGTGAGAGAAAGGCATATTGTATTCGTAATGATGAGCTTTATCCTTCAATGTCTTTGAAAATGGATGGAAGGTACAGAGAATTTCCCTAGAGAAGCACCGGTAGGAGACACAAAAGGTATTTTTTAACATCTGAATGGCTGACATTTGAAATAAGAGATTTGTGCCTGCACTCATTCAACAATTTTTTCTCAGCACCTTCTCGGCACTAGGCATTGTTGTGTATCCTAGGGAAGCAGAAATGAGCAAAACAGAGAGTAGGCAATGGAGAGGAAAAAAGAATGTATGGAGGCTGAAATTGATTTGGCTCAGTGGATAGAGTGTCGGTCTGCGGACTGGAGGGTCTCAGGTTAGATTCCGGTCAAGGGCATGTACCTTGGTTGCGGGCACATCCCCAGTTGGGACTGTGCAAGAGGCAACTGATCGATGATTCTCTCTCATCGATGCTTCTAACTCTCTATCCCTCTCTCTTCCTCTCTGTAAGAAATCAATAAAATATATTTTAAAAAAAAGAATGTATGGAGAATGTCAGCGGCAATACACACTATAGCAAAAAATCTAGAAGGGAAAGCAGGACAGGACTGCCAGAGAGGGCAGTGCTTTTAATAGGGGTCACCAGAGAAGGCTCAGTGATGGGTTTGTCACACTTCATGCCCTGCAGGTTGTGCAAGGAAGTGAGATGAATGAGCACCAGGCTTTGCATTGAGTAGGCTACTTATTGAAATGTTTTGAAGAGCCTGAGGAACATTGTTAGGGTTGACTTAATCAGCCTGGGTTGCAGCCTAAATATTGGACTTTTTTTCAAGTTCCTAAATGATTTTGTTGTGCAACCAAGGTTGACAATCCCTGCTGGAAGAAGGCAAGATTTAGAAATGGCTAATGAGAATTTTTTAACAACTAAGGGTGATCTGCAATAGCTTCCTGGTGCTGTGTTGAGCTCCAGTTTAGGAAGTATTTAAGAACAGATGTCCATGAGCTACCACTTCACACCCATTAGGGTGACTATTATAAAAACAAAACAAGAGTGAAAAATAACAAATGTTGGTGAGAATGTAGAGAGACTGGAACCTTGTGGATTGCTGGTGGTAATGTAAAATGGTGCAGCTGCTGTGCAAAACAGTTTGTTGGTTTCTCAAAAGGCTAAATATAGGCTGACCCTATGACCCAGCACTTCCAGTCCTAAGTATATACCCCAAAGAATTGAAAGCAGGGGCAGGAATAGATACATTATACACCAAAGTTCATGGAAGCATTATTCACAA